ATTTCGTGTCTTATAGAAAGAGGTGGGAGGAGCTGTCTTGTCCCGTTTTTCACGTGAGCACTTCTGTGACAAATATGACTCTGTATGCTCAGGGTGTGGTGGCTCCTTGATCCTGGGCCTTAAACCCACATAAAAGTCTGGGTGCAGTGGCATGGACATATAATTCCAGAACTGGGTAGGTGGAGACAGCAAGATCCATGGAGACAGGGAGCTCCAGGGTTAGTGAGTGACCCTGTCCGCAAAGTAAGATGTAGGTAGGCATAATCAAAAAGACACCTAACACTGACCTTTGGTCGCTATGTGAATGTGCATACATACACGTACACCTGTAAGTATGCACAAAAAATAAAACAAGAAAATAAAAAATACTGGTTATAGAGGGAAAAAATTGCTGCCCTTGTTCATTGTAGAGCAGCAGTTCTCAACCTGGGGTTCGTGACTCCTTTGGGGGGGGTCAAATGACCCATTTGAAGGAGTTGCCTAAGAGCATCAGAAAACACAGATATTTGCATTATGATTCATAACAGTAGAAAAATTACAGTTATAGAGTAGCAAGAGAAATAATTTTATGGTTGAGAACCACTGTTTCAGAGGGAAATGTAAGTGTTATAATCACCGTGGAAGATAGTATAACCAGTGCCTCAAAAAATAAAAATGTGATGAACACATGATACAGCAGTTATATTTCTGGATATATGCTCCAAAGAATGGGAAGCATGGGTCTCAAAAGGACATTTATACACCAAGTTGGGAAATCAGAATTCATAAGAGTTAAAATATAGAAGTACCCCAAGTGTCCATAGCTGAATAGATCAACAGGATGTGATCTATGCACACAATGGGAGGAAATTCTAAGACGTATTAAAACATGGAGGAAACTTCTGGAAATTATGCCAAGAGAAATAAGGCAATCACAAAAAGGCAAATAATACACAATTCCATTTATTTGAAATACTTAGAGTAGTCACAATCATAGAGACACGAGGTGGCATGGTGGGTGTTAGCAGCTAGGGGAGAGAATGGAGAGTTATCATTCAGGCGTGCAGGGTTTGAGTTTTGGGAGATGAAAGAGAACTTCTGAATGCTGGTGCTTATGGTGGCACAAGAATACCAATACACTTAATGTCACTAAACTTTAACTCTAAGATGGTAATAATACTACATTATGATGTATATGTACATATATATGTATGTATGTATCACCACAGCCTTTAAAACTGGGGAAAACCCCACATGATATCATGTAAGTAGTACTTCATAAGAAATCTGTAAAACTAAAAGCTAAAAAAGTGAAATATTTATCCCATCTTAATTGTCAAAATAACGGAATAAATAAAGGAAATATAACAAAATGATGCAAAAATTTAAGCTTTAAATTTTTCTTCATTAGAAATTAGGCTACACATACTCTAAAGGGCACAACACAGAATTGGATGGACCATTTTCTCTAGAAAAACAGAGCTCCACGGAAAATTCTAATAAAATGTTATATAGTCTACTTATAAACAAAATTAAATTTAAAATAGAACTCATCATATATATATATTTATTTCCTGGCATGAAAGATTTTAGGACTAGAAAAGACCAAACTACCCAGTTCACCCAATCTATTTATTTACTTCCTATTGTTCTACTTGCTGAAGAGGGCAAGCAGCCATGATATGCAATGATTAATAGCTGGCCCTCACGGTGGAGGAAGTGTTTGTGATTTAAAAAAAAAAAAAAGGCAACAAATGGCATCTTCTTATACCATTAAGATATTCTATCAAGAGTTAAAATTGTAGCCTCATCCTGATGTTATCCTTAGCTGTCTCAAGAAAGCCCCTCAATCTGCTGCAAAATTTTACGTTGGATTTTCAATTGTAAAGAGATTTATAAAGAGCAAAGGAAATAAAAAAACAAGGTAGTGATGTATGAAAACTGTATGTAGCTGGGGAGTGACGGCAATAGGGACCTGCCTCTCGTATGCTAGCAAACAGACTTGAACTAAAGGATGAGTTTAAACAGACATGTGCTCTGTGAATCGGTGTCAGATAGAAACCCCAGCAATCAGGAACCAGCACAACCCATCGGTGCATTGTGGCTTCTCCCCTAACACAACTGCATAGACTCTAAAGAGCATTTTCACCTTCACCATCCCGAGAAATCTACCCTTAGGCGGGGTAAGAAGAACAGCAAGAGTGAGCTGGCCAAGGTGACACTGACAAATCAGATACTTTTATTCATAAGACATGTCATCAACAAATTTATTTCAGACTAAGAGCTCACATTCCTAATCACAAGACAATGGGTTTTCCGATGACCACGTGACAGGCGGCACATTATGACATCTTTCCAGTAATCTCCCCGAGGCCAGGACCTTCATCTTGCTCTAGGAGGCATCATTCACATTTAAGGAACTTGACAGAATAAACACAATTTTTACCTAAAAGCTCTTAGGTTAATCTATTAGTCAGGCCAGAGAAGTGACCTTCCCTGCCATGGACCCATGACAAGTAAATTTATTTCCCACCACATCACTCAAAGCAGCCAGATGTCCTCCGACCCTTCCTTCTGCTCCTGCCTTCTCCAGGCAGCGGCTAATGACATTTGCTTTTAGTTGAGTGTCGGGAAAAAGACCGTTGTCTACAAGTGTTGACACCAAACACCAAATTTCATTAGCGAACAATGCTGGGAAAGTCTCCGTGATTTTTTTTTTTAAAGGAAACTGTTTTCTTTTTTTCCGGAGGGGCTTTATTTTCTATTTTCTGTTCATATATAGTTTGTGCTTCCAAGGCTGTCTGAACACAACTCTGTGAGGAACCGAGGTCTGCCATGAGCTGGTTTTCACCGTTCTTTGCTGTGGAGGAAGGATGGTGCCATCCAGGTACCAGGCGGTCAAGTACCTTCTCTGGAGACAAGGGAAGCCAGATCTTTGTCTAGGTTTCTTGCTAACTACTTTTCTCCCTCTCTCCTTTCTTCCTTGCTAGTCTGACATTCCCTTTATTTCTTCTGTCGCACACACTACAGATTTGGGCTCATTCAGTCAAGACTTTGCTAGTGGCTTCCCAGAATGTGGTCTTAAAAAAAGAGATGGATTAGATTTTTAATTTTCTATTAGAGAGCGCAAAATCAGCAGTGCTTTTAACACGAATTTTCATGGCTTAAAAAAAAAAAAAAGTGCCACGTTGTTTTCTAAGCCATTCTCAAATCCCACTTAGACACCAGGCCTCTGCATAAAGCCCCAAGGGATGGATTGGCATTGGAGAACCTGATGAACTCAACCACGCAAGCTTTCGCTTGAAAACTTGTGGTGAGCACTAGGCCTTTTGAAGCTTGCTAAGACAAAATGAGTAGGCTCTGAGAGTACTGTCGTCTCTCACCAAAGCTAAGAACAAGGACTAAGCTGAAAAGACGTTTTAATTTTTTTTTCTTCCGTAGTCAGTCAGCTAAGCAGGAAGGATGGGAGTCCCGCGGGAGAAAGGAATATAAGGGCATCCCTGGGAGACTTAAAAGATGCCTCATCTCTGGGTACCCAGGGGAGCCTTGGTCTCTGCGACGCCTTCCCCAGAGCTGCCACTGCGGCGCACTGCGGAGCCCCATCGCCTGCCAGCAGCCTCTGTCCTGCCTGGCTTTCCCTGCCGCCCCTGCGGCAGTCTATCCGCCCACCCCAGTCCCTCCAGTCTGTTGCTGCTGTCTGCACAGGGCGCGCCGCGGGGCATCCATCACCCGGGAGCCTTTGACGCACACGCGCGCGCTCCCAGACAGGCTGGGTCTCCTAGCCCTCCCTCCCGCCATGCCCGCCCCATCGCGGGGCAGCATTTACATCACGCCCACACGTAGAGGGTGACGCGACCGCCCCCCAACCCCCGCTCTCGTGGTCCAGGCGGTACCTCCAGAGCTGGTGACTCAGCTCCTCCCTCTCCGCCCCCGCGCGTGGCGCCTGAGGTTCCCGCACGCCCACAGAGATGTTCCTGCATCTGCGGTGGGGTGCTGGCTGCCCCAGCCAAGTTCATCCCGGTATTCTATAATCTTCCCGGGCTGATCAGAGGAGTCCCAGCCTTGGGGGAGAAAGTATTCCCAATTCTAGAGCCGGTTCGGAGGGGGGAAAGAGAAGATGGTGGGCTGTCGTCCCATTTCCTCTTGGCCTTAAATTATAGACCTCGGTAGTAGTAGTTGTTGCTGTCGTCATCATCATCATCATCATCATCATCATCATCATTTTTGCTAGGGACGGCCCCTCTCCCAAGAACCCCACACTCTCAGATGCGCTTCGCTGCTCCAGGCGCATAGGGAAAGCTCGATAGGGTTTTGCTGAATGGAGGTGCAGTGTAAGAAAAGTGTGGATTCTTACAAAGAGCTACATAGCCCGCACGCTCCCCTGCTCTCAGCCTTTTGATGCGGGAGCACAGATGCTAGCTACTCGCAGGTTTGGGGAGGATTTTGCGGAAGAGTTTGAAAATTCACGGGGTTTCTATTAGCCTCCCGTAGAGTCTGCAGCTGCTCCTGCTTTCCCACCACCCGCACATCTGCAGAGGGATCCCCGCAGAAAAGTTGAACCAGAGGTTGCAGGGATGGCATAGTGATGGTGGCTGCTCCTGGCTGCCTGTTTTGAATAGTCTCCCCCTGGCCATCCTGAAGCCCCCACCCCCGGCCCCCAAGCAAAGAAGCCTGGAGACGCCTGCAGGCGCAGCCCCTGAACGCCTGAGGCTGCCCACCCACCTGCCCCGGAATCCCGAACATAGCGCGCCGCACCTTTGACTTGCCCCAGCCCAGTAAACCCGGGGTCATTCCACTGCCTCCGTGAGATTTCCCCCTTACCATTCCAACACAGGGGCTCAGTAGGCAGCCCTCCACACCTGCAGCGGCTTTCCCCGGGCCAGAGCGGGCAAAGTTGCTCTAGTCGCTCTTCTGCGAGGCTGCAAAAAGTTCCCTGGCTGCAACGCTCGCTCTCCCGGTCCAGAAGGGGATTCTAGCGGAGAGAGATCTCTCGCCAGTGTTGCGGGGGACTCCTTACTCACCCTTCCAGCCGTCGGGGACCCCTTGCCCTGAGCGGTGTCTGCACTGCAGCCGTCGCCGCGCCGGCACCCCTCCTCTTGCTGCCCGGGGCCGCCTCGGTCTGCCACTCTCTCCTGCAGCGCGCGCAGTGGTGACTCCTTTGAGTGAGTCGGCGGCGAGAGGAGGGGCGGGAAAGTGGCTCCGGGCTGCCACGCTGCGGTCCTCCTCCGCCTCCTCCTCCCCTTGGTGCTGCAGTGGCGGGCGGCGGCGTGGCGAGAGTACAAGCGATGCGCAGGGAGGGAGTTACTGCGCGCGGGGGAGGAGGGCGCTGTGCAAGGCTGGGCGAGCTCCCGGGGTGATGCAAAAGCGCCGCTGAGGTGCGGGTCCCGGAAAGGGGGCGCGGTGGTAGGGCTGGCTCCAAGGGGCAAGTACTTTTGGAGAAGTCAGGGCTCAGTTTGTTGCCGAGGAAAAAGAGAAAGGCGCCAGTGTTGAATTAGTCACCGGGTGTGACTGTGCCTTGCGCACTTGGCCGCCCTTTGGGCCGGGTCCCGCAAGGCACAAGGAAATTGTTGATTGCTGGAGGCCAATGCCCAGGGATGGAGGCTTTTGGTCGGTTTCTGGGCCTGAAACTGGTTAATTTTGACTTGGCTTTGGGTAAGTCAGTAGGCAGGAGTAGCTGATCATTTCCTGATCTCAATCACCATGCTGGCACACAAGTCTAGAGAAAACTTGGGGCGCAGTGGAAACAACTTCACGCGCGGTGTGTGTGTGTGTGTGTGTGTGTGTGTGTGTGTGTGTGTGTGTGTGTGTCCCCAAATCAGAGAGGGCCAGGCGGCAGGCGGGACTAGGGACACTGCTTAACATTTTAAAAAGAAAGAAAAAGGAAGCCGTGAGAATATTGCTGTATTCCCAGGAACGCCTTTTGAGAAACCTCAACCTCAGCCTCACCTAAGCTCTGGGGCTGGACTGCCAACTGAAATTCACCCTGAGAGGCCACACCCAAGCACTTGGCAGGGCAGGGTGTCGCCCTCCTGTCACCCAACCGACCACCGGATGGGACCCAGTGGGAAGCAGGGGCATCCTCATCTAGTAAACCCTGTCGTCTCTGCGCTCACATGGAACTCCTGTGGTTTGGAAGGGCCCCCCAGGCTGGTGTTCACCGCGAAATCATTACTCTTGTAATGGTGACTCGGAGCGAGACAAAGCGCGGCGCCAGCGGAGGCTGCAGTGGGTGGAACTCACACGCACACTTTCTCCCGCAATGTGCTCCATGCGAGTAAATAGCCTGCGCGTTTCAATGGGTGGGTAAAAGCTTGGCGGTGCAGATACATATGTAAACATTGCACGTGAGTGTGCTGGAGAAGAAGAGCAGTCCAGCTTTGCGGAGAGCCATGGAAAGCTGGTGGCGACCACGTGGCCCGCCAGTGACAGTGAAGTAACTCCAGTTTGCTGAGCTACATGTGTGCCACCATTCAGGATGCAATGAAGAGGGGACAATGTAGCCCGCCCTCAGCCTCTGGCTGCTCCTCCTTGCAGCTCTGGCGTTCTGAGACTTGGGATGCTCAGTCTCCGTTGGTTGAGCCTACACTTTTTGGGTGGTCTTTGAAAAACGTGTCTGGCTCTTGTTTTGGTTAAATGCTTTGCTGTTTGCCACCACTTACCGTGGAGATGATTGGATGGCATAAACATTAACGCACTCACTTGGACATCCTTTCCTGTGCATTCTTACTTAATAAATTAAATAACGATTTGAGCTAAAATGTTTGTGTAAGGGTATGTATGCCCCTACAGGAGTGCTCCAGCATCAGTGTGGAAAGGAATGTGAAATTTTAAAAATGTTCATCTTATCTGGAACCTGTATGTGTCACTGCAAAATGCACTGTTCATTCATTCATTAGGTGCCCTAATGGATACCTCTTTGAGGGCTCGCCCCTAATTCTTGTTGCAGAGTGATTCATTATTTCTCCAAGTGAAAGAAGTATGGAAAACGATGAAAAATGGTCAACATGCTTCCTGTTGTGCTCTCTCTTCCTTAAATCAATCCCTGTGTGGTCCATGGATCTGCCAGGGTGAATAGGATTTCCAGCTCTAGATTTTCATGTCTTGCTACACTCGAAGATAACAGCTCCTGTAGTCCCTACCCTAGACAGAGCTGAGCTAGAAATGGCATTACAGGGAAGGATTTTCTATGTGATGATGAACCTGCCCAGGAAAGCAGCTCTGATTGGTCCTGCCTGGCACACCACTTGGAGCCAAACTCTCACTTGTTAGTATTACCCATATTTTCTTTCTTCTAAGAACATTTGTCTCATAGGAGCTGATGCAGGTAAAGATGTATATCTTTATCTTCCCTGTATCCACAAAACCTCAGTGCTCCTCAAAGTCACTACCTTCCTGCCAAACAGAAATTTCGTTCTTCAACATAGTGTCTTTTTGTGATGTTAAAAAGAAGCACGCCTTCCCAAGGAGCATGAAGGATCTGTCATTGCATCTGCAAACTGTTTCACTTCAAAAAAAAAAAAAAAAAAAAAAAACAGAAAGAAAGAAAAATACAGGTGCTGTAGTTTTGTTTTGTTTTAAGTACACACAAGAACCACAGTGCCTAGCATACAAGGGCCACAGAACAAGGATGATTCATATTTTTTTTAAATAGAGGAAAGTTTCCCAAAGGCTCCTATATGATGCTTCCTGAAAGCTCAGAATAGCATCCAGCTTCCATGACAGGGATCTAGAGAGAACCTCTTACTTTTGAACCACAAGTTCCACACCTCTCCAGTTCTTTTTCTCTGCCATCAGATATACAGCCTCATATATCTAGCTACAGACAAATCCTCTTCCTGCTCAGCACTCTTTCCCAAGTTGCTTACCAATGCCTGTGTCATCAAACCCTTAATGGCCATTCATATCCATTACCACAAACAGGCCCAGAATCACAAGTGCAATTAGCATCTACATTGTGACCCCCACCCTCTGTCCCTTCCTCCCTATCCAGCCCCTGAAGCCCTTTGGCTGTGCCTTCTAAGTATAAATGGCTGAAACAATCTACTCTTCCCTTATCATTCTAATGGAATCTCCCCCACTCTCCTCTTATTAGATTATAATGTTTCAAAAACTCTGTTTGAACCAAGACTCAAACAAGACCCCATACACTGCAACTGATTGATAGTCTCCAAATCTCGGTTTTCTTTTATTTCATTTTTTCACCCCTTGCAATTTACTTAGTGTTGGAGAAAGCATCTGTTCAGTGTTTTTGTTTTTGTTTTGGTAGCCTGAGTGTGTGCTTATTACATCACTTGAGTGTTCTGCTCTGGGATTTCCTATATTCCACAACATAGATCTAAAAGCTTATTTGTAATCAGATGTTTCCTGACCCCACCACCCAGTCCCAAATAAATGCACAGAGGCTTATATGAATTATAAATGCTCAGGCTCATTATTAACTAGCTCTTACATTTTAAGTTAACCCATTTTCCTTATTTATGCTCTGCCACGTGGCAATACCTTTATTGGCATGGCACATTCATCTCCTGCTTCCTCTGTGTCTGGCTAGCATCTCCTGACTCCACCCTTTTCCTTCCCATCATCCTTAGTTTGGTTGCCCTGCCAATACTTCCTGCTGGCTACTGGCCAATCAGCATTTTATTAAACCAATTTGAATGACAAATCTTTACAGTGTACAGGAGGATTATTCCACAGCACTTACATTTTTTTGACAAAACTAATACATAGAGGCATGTACTATTTATATGTATCTAATTGCATGTTTTTTTAAAAATGGTTATTGATAATTACTGCTGTCATTACACTATTTCTTTGAGTTTTGTTAAATAATAATATTCTAATGATCATTTCTCAAATACCTATCCTCCTCTTCTTTAAAGATATGCTTGAGTGTTGGATATGGTGGCACACACCTTTAATCTCAGCACTTGGGAGGCAGAGGCAGGTGGCTGTCTGTAATTTAGAGGCCAGCCTGGTCTACATAGCAAGTTCAAGCCCTACTAGGTCGACATAGTGAGACTCTATGTCAAAAAACCAATAAACAAAAACCAGGAAAGCAATATGGTTGGTTACATTTTCGAGAGTTAGAAGAATAGAAGGCAAAATCCAGGACTTGAACAAACAATCGAATCTGATAGAGGAAGCACTGCCCACCCCTCAATATAAACAACTCAGCTTTCTGTCACTATAACAAAATGCTCAGGACTATCAACTGCTGAAGAGAAAACATTTATTTGCCTCACAGCTTTGGAGGTTCCAGCTGCCCTGGCTTTGGGCCCGTAGCAAGGCAACACACCACAGTGGAAGCAGGAGGTGGAGTAAAGGCACTTACCTCACTTGACCCAGGGAGCAGAGTGAATAAGGCAGAGTCCAGGGCCCTTCAGTCCATGCTTTGCCACCCGGTGACTTCTCACTCGGTCCATCTTCTACAGATGCCATCACCTTCTAACAGTGCTGCCCTCTAGAACAATCCTTTAACATGTGGGCCTTTGAGAGACTTGCAAGTTCCAAACAATGGGACTCCCCAAAGGCTGATGCTATGAATACAAGGGAAAGCAGAGATAACTCTCACTACCATCCATTGCAGAGGACTGCTGAACATGTTGCTGTAAGTTGAGTAAGTCAAGAGAATGTAGACACAGAATGGGGATAAAACACACTTATTTAAGAAATCTTAGGTGAATACACGATGTAGATATGTGTATCCCCAAACTCTGTTATTTTGCATAACTGATTAAAACAAATGCTAAACTATGACACCAGTTTAATATATGGCTAGTAGGCATGTACATTGCATTCTTTGGTAGTAACGGGTAGAAATCCTTTCTGGAGGCATCCTCTTATGTTCTAGAAACCAAAAATTACCCACAAGTAAGTTTTTAATAAAAGATAACAATGAACACACGGTAACAGACTAGTTACTAGTTACTAGCACTAGTTACAGAAAAGAAGAATCTATAATCTATAAGACATTGGAGACACTGGTCACATATCTTCCATTACCTGAAGAAAAAGAAAATGGTTAAAAGCACTTACAGGGATAGGAAACTGTTAGGAATGATCAATCGAATTTGAAGAGGCATGTGACCTCTGTCAACCTCTACCACCGTTTGTCCTCCCAACACCCATCCGAGTTTCCACACATATAAACACACCCTCCACTTTCCTGGTTGTGTTGAAGGATTCTCCCTCCTTTAAAAATGAGGTCTCCTT